GACGTAATTTATGGACGAAGCCATATGGCTATTAATATAAAAAGTGTTTTTTAGAAACAATTTTTCAATTGTAAACAAATTTTTGCTGTTGCGAAGAACGAATTTGAAAGAAAACACAACATTGAAGAAAATTGAGATTTCTTTTATAAATGTTATTTTATTATTATTGTACTTTAATATTGATATGAAAAAATTTCGTTTTTTTAGTTAATTTAGATTTTTAAGGGTTTTTTAGAGTACCCTGAGGTTTTATTATTTTTATTATTATTAATAATTTTATAATTAAAAAGACTTGAATATTTTTTTACTATAAAATTGTTAAAAATAAAAACGAAAACCAAAAATTATTATTTTAATTAATATTTAGTGACACTAAAAATATATTTTTTTACGTCTTTTTTGAAAATGAAAAAAAGTTCCAAAAATTTATTACGCAATAAAAGTGCCCGTGTAGAAATTGCCCTACTAGGGCCATAGTAAGGAATGAAACGCCGCGCCCGATCAGGGCCAGATCGGGGCGACAAGAAAATGTGGATTTCCTGATCAGGGCCACATCGGGCGCGGCGTTTCATTCCCTAATAGGTCGGCCCTATCCGGCCCTGATCAGGGCCCCAGCGAAATTTCTACACGGGTGGAGGATTATAAAGTTACAACAGGCGCTTAATGAATGAAAGATACGATTTTACGGTAACAATGAAAAATAATCTGTTAATCGTGACACACCCTGTATATAAAATGACTGTCATTAATTCTGCTGTTATCGTATTAAAAAAGATTTCTTATCTAATAGACGTTGACAAACCACCTGCATTGTTGTTTGACGACTCTCTTCAATTTTAATTTCAAGTTATTTCAATTATCTCACATTCCAATTGTCTTTTTTCCTCCTCCACTGAAACTTGTGTAAACACTATCACTAATTATATATATTTATCTGTGTTTTAATATTTTTTATTTTTTCGTAATCTTTGAAATTAAAAAAGATGATTCGTTACGTAATCTTGAAATTAATAAAACTTAGTAGTATAGTAATAATGAAAAAATTATTTTTATGGTTTATTAGTATTAATTAATTAATTAATTTGAATACTCAAAATTTGTGAAGAAAAAAAAATGTTGGAAAAAAGTTGAAAAAATGAATTAATAAATGTAACTTATGTTTATGGATTGCTTGAAGAACAGCAGTCGCAAGCAGTCGAGTCGAGAGTGTATATATTCTCTATTGTGAATTGAGAACTCTCTTTCCAACGTGAATAATCAAACTGCGCTTGGCTTGTTGCCTGCGATGTTTCAAGTTAAGCGACGTTTGGTCACGGTTAATAATTTGATGGGCGACTCGATTGCCCTCTCAAAAACTTTTTCTTTAAAAACGATAATTTATTTTTAAAGAATGTACCCTCCCGGATGCAAAAAGTCATTTCTCACTGAAGAGAAATGGCACTTGCATCTAGAGGGAATAGAAAAAGCAGGTCTCCACCTTGAATTGCGTTATCTAGCAATGTCAAAACTTAACCCCTGCTGATATCATTTTTTAATCATTTTTTTTTAATTTTGCTAATTCCAACTGTATATACCCAGGGTTAAATAAATATTTAATCATTATTTTTTTTATAGAAATTAAAAGATATTCAAAAATTTTAAATTCAATAACATAAGAATATTATTATAAAGCATAAAGCTATCGAGTCTTTGACTCGGAGTGTCGATATATCTTCATGTTTTATACTAATTTAAATTTTCAGAAAATTTAAAAAAAGAAATTAAATTATTTAGAAAAATTTTAATAATAATAATTGTAAACGCAATTGTTTTAAAATGGAATTAATTTTGAAATTAGATGTCAAGAATAAGCACAATAATTTTCTAGGATTTTAATCAAAATTCCCTGACTTTTCCAGGTTTCGTGGCAACCGTGGTACCATTCTTAAACATTTATTTTCTATTATCTATTTCAATATACAAATGGCTAATAATCTGTGGATGAAAATCAAAAGTAAATTTAAATTTTGATATTTTGAAGATACTTTAAAATGAAATTCACGATATTATAGAATTTGAAATGAAATTGAATTGGACAAAATGTAAAATTGAAGGAACATTCCTTTGAAAGCATGAAAATTCAGTCCCGTGAGATTCTTGAGTTGAAAATACAGAGAAAGAGAGAGAGAGAGAGAGAGAGAGAGAGAGAGAGAGAGAGAGAGAGAGAGAGAGAGAGAGAGAGAGAGAGAGAGAGAGAGAGAGAGAGAGAGAGAGAGAGAGAGAGAGAGAGAGAGAGAGAGAGAGAGAGAGAGAGAGAGAGAGAGAGAGGAAAGCCAGTGGTTGTATTTACGAACTTGCGAAAGCTCATTGAAATGTTAGTGCGGCTCGGGTTGAGGGTAACTTTAATCTCCTTTTCTTAATTACATATATGTGTCGCATTTTACTTTCATTATAAATTAAAATTTTAATACTTTCTATTCATTAATAAATTCCTCTCTAGGTAACAAAGATTTCAAGTACAATTTACTTTTATATTATAATAATTACATTTTTATACCTAATTGAGTGGTATTTTTCAATTTCGTCTTATTGTTTTCTTATAGTAACTGAGGTCAGAGTTAACTACCAGATTCTCTGTAGGCAACATAGACACCTCGGTCGGTAATTGCAAATACGCAAATACCAACTCTTTTCCAATTGAACCGATTTTTAAAGACGCATTTAAAAGTATAGCTCATATTTCAATCGCTAGTGTGACAGCGACCAGACGGACTCTCGAATTCTCGATTCTGGGGATTCTCGGCTGGCGAAATCGGGAGTTTAAATTAGTGAGTCTAGACGCTTCGGAAATACCACGTGGTAAACGTCATCTCTTTAACACCGTTTGAAATTTCGCGCGGAATTAAAGCTGTCAAAACAGGAACAACATGATGAATTGAGTCATTTACACCGCAATGAATTCCTGACAAACGTTTTGTTTTACTGGAAGGAACGAAATTAACTGAAACAGTAGCTAAAAGCATTTTCTTGTGACGCTATACTTTTTCGAAAAATAACTTCAATTGTTAATTACTACTAATCAAGAAAATAATTATTTATTTATATAATTTCAATTTGAAAAACGTACGATTGATTACACAATAAATTTAAATGTAGAAGCAATTAAATGACAGGATTTCAATAGTTTCGCAAAATATTTATTTTTTTCTGACATTTTCCTGATTTCCATCAAAAATGGTTTTTTTTTGGTAGGAATTTTAATTCTAAATTCTTCTAAACTTCAATTATTTATTTCCAAACTTTTAGTTAGAGTTAGAAGTTCTAGAGTTCATAAAAAATTTGATTATATTTAAAAAAATTTAAAAAAATTTTTAAATTTATTTTTCCACAGAAATTAAAATTTGAAACAATTTTAATGTAAAACCTTTTTCAAATTCATAACAAATTCTATAAAAATTCATATTATATAACGCATTTAATATTCAATTATTATAATCTATATAACTGTAATTATTTATTTTTAAATCAATAATTCTTATTAAAAAATTCTATAAGAATTCAATTATTTAAATAAAAATAAAATGCAAATAAATAATTGATAGAATAGCTGATTGTTTCTTAAAATTGAGTACTAAAAAAGAATTTTATCAAAATTTTTGAAAATAATTCATTTCTTTCGAAGATTATTAATAATTCTTTCGAGGAATTAATTTCAAACTGCGTATTCAAAATAATTCAAATTCTGTAAAAAATTTTGGTATTTATAAAAATAATTGAATTTCTGCAACGAATTTGATTATTTATGTAAATAATTGAATTGTTGTAACGAATTGTATTAACTTTTTTGAAATACCTAATTGAATTGCTAGGAAAAATTTTATAATTTGTAAAAATAATTGGATTCTTTTTTTCATTTTATAAAAATTTAAAAGAATAATTCAAATGTTTCGAAAAACTTAATTAAAATTGGGTTCAAAATAATTGAATTTACAAAAAAATTCTTTAATTTATTTCACATAATTGAATTACTGTGAAAATTTTATTATTCATATTATTTGAATATTATTAAATTTTTTATTAATAATTAAATTCTTTTGAGAAACTTTATTAAAATATATATATAAATTTTTATATCTAAATGAATAAATAAAATAATAGATATTGAAAATATTTGAATTTTATTATTTGTGAAAATAACTGAATAATTCTCGTAAAAGATTTTCGAAAAATTTTTGAAATAATTGATTTTATAAAAAAATTTAATTGTTTCTAAGAAGAATTTTATTAAAATTTTCAAGAATAATTACCTACTTTATTCCAACTATTAGCGAATTTAAACTCGTGAAAATTCTCAAAAATGTGAAAAAGTAGCTTTTAGAGTCACAAATTTTAAAAAAAGTATCCAAATAGTCGCTAATCGTAAAAAAAGTAGTAAATAGTAGGTTTTACTTTTTATTCTGTTTTGGCCTTTAATAACGTATTTTTTAGGTTATGTTACCTAATTCGCTTCTTGTTTATGTCTACGAAAACTTATTTATTGATCTTATTGATCTAATAAAGAAAATGTATTTTTGTTACAGGTGAGTTTTCATTTAGTCCACAATCTTCATTAAACGCAATAGGTATCATACGTGAGTAAATTAATATTTATTTTTTTTGTCACTAAAGAATTTTCCCAGATTTACACACTTGTTTGTAAAAAATGTTCATTGGGGTCACTTTAGGAATTTGCTGACAAACGGCACATTTTCAAGTATAAAAATACCCTATTCTTGACAGTTTATTTGCAAAAATGAATAGAAAATTAGAACTTGTTTAGGAAAAAGACTATTTTTGTCCATAAATATTGATAGTTTTCTGTGTTAACAATTTGTTTTGGGTATACCGGCACACTTACCTTGAACCTGTTTGTGTATAGGTGCGTAGTATTCGTATTGCAGCTCTCTCCCATCCCTCCTCGCCCTCTCATTTTCTCTCTCCGGTTGGAATCTCGTGGCTGTGTTTCCCGCGAGAATCGATGGCGTCGCTCGCGTCGCGATGGCTGCCGTCAGTGTTCCCGAGACTCGCTCGCTGTTCTATTGTGGCGCCGCTGTTATTCATCGTTAAAGCATATTTTCTTTTCTCTCTCTCTGTCGCGAAAAATAATAAGTACACATATATTGTCGCCCACAATAATCCGTCTGTTCTCCGTCCTTAGAAGTTACCACAATCACGGGAATCAAATTTTCAACGAGTGTTGAATAAAAATCGCGTACAACCAATTTTTCCGCCCATTGTATGACCGGAGGAAGAGAAAAATCCACGATTCGTATCTGTGTGTGTGTGTGTGTGTGAGGTGTGTTTGTATATTCTCTCTCGTCGCAGTGGCTGTGCGTGTATATTGCTCTCCGACTTTGCGTAGTGTTTGTGATCGTCCTTCTCACTTTGCCCGACGTCAACCGTCTCTTTCCCACTGTCTCGCCACTACAAGTGCAGTCTGTCCGAATTTTCTATTCGAAGCCCTCGTTTACAAGCAAAAGTTTGCAAGTGAGTGTGGTTTCTTTTTTTTCTTCTTCTTCTTCTTCTTCGTTTTGCCTCCATTGTGCAGTGCTCCAGGTTGTGTCCACAGGTGTTTGCATACGAAATTCTCATTTCGGGAGTTTCAATCAGTGGGTAAGTAATCAATGTGCATTCCATTCTAGACAAGTTTTTAATGTAGAAAATGCCAAGCCCATGCGTTGTTCTCTATTATGAGGATGTTTTTCTTTTTCATTTTTTAACTGCATCTATGAACTTTTAGGTTATGATCACGTTCCGACCTTCGGGACGCGTCCGGTTTGCTGTTTACTTTCCATCTAATGTAAAAAACCGTTTTTATCGTTATGAAACACTTCCATTAGACATAATTGCACCGGAAAAAATGTTAAATTTTAAATAGAATACTCATTTTCTCTCCGAGATTACGGTTTATTGTAAAAAAAAGTTTTTTCTTTCTCATACTATACGTTGTTGTCGAATTATTTGTTGTATATATTTATCTTGTGGTTAGTATTTATATTTTTCAATTTTACGTTTTTTAATCCAGTACATAAGTTAATATGCGTCATTTTTTTCCACGTTAGACACGTAACTAATGATTCACAATGAGATGAGGCACCTGTAAAACATTATTAGAATTCAACGTTTTGACTCGTATTTATGTTTACGTTCTAGTTACATTCGAATTAAATTCTTTCAATCTTTTCTAAATTAATGAAATTAATTTAAAATATTTTTAATTATAATAATAAATATATGATAGTATATTTGTTATTTATTTACTCCCTACGTAATAGATATTACTTTAACTAATATTGATAAATTCAAAAGGGTTTTTTTTTTGGAAATCCGAGCTATACCGTTATTATTTTATGATTTATAGAAATAGTTTAATAATAGAGAACAACGAATATGGCGAAAACAAAAAAACATTACATATGTAAATATTTGATACACGTGACAGTCTACATTAAAAGTATTTTTAGTACAAAGACTAAATCCGAGAGAAAGATAAAAATTTTCTCTTATTTTAAATGTTTATAAAGCGGAAATGTTTTTTTTCTTTTTTAGAAAGAGAAGTATTTAATGCCCGTGAGTGATGAATGTATTTTCAATATATATTGAATAATAATTTTTCCCGTAACTCTTGTGATTTCTCTCTCTCTATCTTTCTGTCGGATTATTTATGTTTCTATTCAGAGTCAGTGAGATAAATATGTTTCTCAATAAATTCCGATACAATAATAAACAGTAAATTAACAAAATTGCTAAAAAAAATAGTTAACATTAAAGTAAAATAGTTGATAAATAATAAGTAAGGAGAATAATATTGTTAATAAATTAAAATAATTATTTTAGTAAATCGTTTATTATTTAACGTAGTAAGTAAATTAACTTATTAAATTTTTCAATAGTTCAATAATTTTATATTTGTATATGAATATTTAATATTTTTATTATGTTTATAATTTAATATCATTAATAAGTGTTTTATAAAATTATTTAAATTAAAATATTGAAGAAAATAATAGTCCAGAGTGAGCTAAAAGAAAATATAATTATTTATTTCAATGAGAATAAAATTACAATTATTATTTTAATTATTTATTGACATCATGTTATTTTCTTTGACAAGAATAAACTAGACCAAGTCACGTGAATCAGACACACGGATTTAGAACTAATCTCTCTTTTTCCATAAACAGGGTGTGTATCGCAGCCGTCCGAGAAGAGTCTCTCTCTCTCTGTCTTTCCCAATGTGCCAAGAAGAAGTCCAAGTGTGAGAAAATAAAAAAAATAAAGAAGAAGCAAGGAGTCTGGAAAGTAGACGAGATTTTTTTATCCTCGTTAGTTGCGTGGATTTCAATTCTCAGTCGTTGAGGTGCAATGACTCGACACGTGCCACACTTTTGTACGTGTCCATAACAGAGAGGCGAGAAGATATTCGACTCATCAGAAAGAGGGAGGAAGCAAATATCCGTGCCAAAAGTTCGAGTCGGGTCAAGTTTGAACTTACCTGCACAAGGCGTGTGTATTGATGCACACACGTCAGAGAAAATGCAGCCCATACTAAAAAAGAAGAAAAATTCCCTCCTCTCCATTCATTATTTTGGGATATTCACCATATTCACTTAATGTACTCGGAAATAAAAAAAAACTCAAAGTATCGAAGAATCGACTTCCAAAGTTCAGTCACACACTGTTATTCGCAAAAATGCCATTGAAGAAGATCTTCGAGAGTGAAATGACACTCTTGTTGAAAAAATAAAGAAAGCATTGGAAAGAAAATGTTATTGCGATAGAATTTCCAAACAAAAAGGTAATTTGGTGTCAAAGAAGCGAAGGATGCGACGAGGAATTTTGGAACACTTCCTCCAGTAGGGAGGCGAGAGGGTTTTTTGGAGAAACGGAACGAAATGTCTATTCGGCTGAGTGGCGTTTACCTGGTGCAGGCCACTGGAGCCGATGGCAACGAGAAGTCGGGAAAGGTCTCGCAGGGGAACAACGAGAATCACCTCCATCATCACCACCACCACCATCAGAGTAAGACCGTGACGATTGTTGCCGGTCCCCAGCGAAGCAACAGTTTGGATTACCTGAATTTCGAGGAAAAGCGACAACTAATAGCCTCATCGTTGTCACTCAGTGATTTTCTTGCGCATGGACCAGCGGCGGCAGCTGCAGCGGCGAAGGAAGTCGCTGCCAACACTGTTATTGGTGAGTCACTTGTTTTCTAAATTTATGTGCATTTCTGTTTTGGTTGTCAACCAGAATATAAATTCATTCGCAAAAGAAATCATTACGTTTTTATTTTCTGCAGAAATTGATTTACAGCTACCACATCATCAAAAAAGTAACAGATTGGGGTAATCATGTCCAAGATGGCGGACTTCTGCAAGTCGAAACTTGTTCGTAGTTGTTCAATGAACCTTTCTGAACATTCTCTGAAAGTTTCGCTAAAAATAGAATTGGTGAAGGATGTTTAAACGATGATTTTGTATTTCGTGGGGTAATTAAGTCCAAGATTACGGATTTCCGGAAGTCGAAATGTGTTAATAATGAGTCATCTTACTTCCCTGACACATTTCCTAAAAGTCTGTATGAAAACAAAATTGGTTTGATGGAGTTTAAACTTCTGGAACCTGAGATTTTTTTTCTGTTTTGCTCTCTTCGAAAGATTATTTTGAATGTTTATTAACCTAGCCTTAAAATAACAATTTATGGAGAAGTGATCCTGGGTTTAAATTGTGATTTCGAGGCTGTGTTTTTGTAGCCACCCCCTTTTGTACAAAGTCGGATAATTTCGAGACAAGAAACTCTTCTTGTTCTTGTTCTTGTCGCCGAACAGTAAACATTATCTGCCTGCTCTCTGAATTCAACAACGCTTCTTCTACTTGGCGCATTCGTCTCGGTGTCTCTAGACCTGCCCTCTTCCTGCGCGAATGCTTATTATCAGACGAGGTCGTTGCTCGTTACTCGGGAGAAAGAAATGAAGAAGAAGGGCGGAAAAGTAGCGCGAGATAAAAAAAAGAGAGAAAATTTTTCAAAGTATCGAGTGATCGATGAGGTCACAAGAGGTTATCGATATGCAAGAGGAGTTTTGTAGGTACTTGAATGATCTCGATGTTTAAAAATAAAAAAAATAATATTGTTATCCACTCACTCTCTAGAGACTAACATTTTCCTCCATAAGAAAATGGTCACTGTCTCCAATATCATAATTATTGTAATTTTTTCCTGTTTAAAATCACTTGCAATTTTAATTCTTTGTTAATTTATTTCTTTTCAACTAATTCTTCTGACTGCAAATCAATTTTGATAATTTGGTTTGTTTATTTATGATCTGGTTCTTTTTTTAATAAAATATATTTGTGTATATATAAATAATTATAAATGCCAAGTAGAGCGAGACATTCAAATCCTTTCTCCTAGACTGCAGAGTAGCCTCGAAAGGTCATAGGAATGTTACGACATAATTGTTCGTCTTCACGAGTGTACCATCACTTAAGTTATTTCCATTCACAGGGTTCAATAGTTGTCATTTTCAATTATAATAAAAATTCCAAATTTTTTTTCTTTTTTCTCAATGCAGTACTGGTAGTATCAGTAGTAGAATCGATTCCTAGTACTAGTTGTACTATCAGTAGTAGCTGTTATTGTAATAGTAGTTATAATATAGAATTATTTTTAAGAAAAAGGTTTTCTTTTTTGGAAATCTGAGCTATTTTAATTTTTAAGACCAATAGAGCTAGACTCTATGAATAAGGAACACTAAAGGGAACAACGAATACTCAAAACGAAAAATCCTAATATCCTAATAGAAAAACAGCTAATGTTTTTGGCTGGATGACAAAAAGTGACAAACACGATGAGGTGAATAAAATAAAATTTTTAAATACTTTCACTGGTTCGAGCCCTGTAATAAGTTTTTATTTATATTATTGTATTTCAAAACTTAAAAAAAAACTAATGTGAAATTTAGTAAAGTTATATTAAACTAGTAAAACTAGGCGTGCGATACGCACTGTTTTGGTTCTAGTATTCATACATATTTTACGTACATACGTGACAGTTTACAGTAAAAATACTTTTAGAAAAAGGACAAAAGTAGTTATGGAAGAAGTATAGTAGTAGTAGTGCTAATATTATAAAAGTTAAGAGCAGTAGCAAATATAGTGTATTAGTAGTAGTAGTAGTAATACTGATAGCAGAAGTAGTAGTAACAACAGTACCAGCAGTGCCAAAACAAGTACTGGTACTCGTTGTTTTGAAAGAAAACTACACACATGTAATTAGAAGAAGGAAATAGCGGCCATTTTGCGAGGAGAAAGTTGCTTTTTTATTAATATACACTTCCCATAACGTAATAAAGGCGTGTACACACGTGTGTAGATCGAATAATCAAATGACGCGTACATGACGTGACTCTCTCGGTGCGGTGTGCGGCTGTGTGATAAAGGCAGGGAAAAAGTATAGTAGTCTAGGTCCAGGAATATGTGAATATCGTAGGTATGGCAACGCCGCGCGGAAATCATTCATTGAGTTGGGAGCCATATACAACACGTACACAGCGGCTCAGAACGCACGAGGGAGAGAAAACGCAATGCGAATTGAGATCTCTTTTAATTCACTGCTTTTCTTCTTCTTTCAAGACAACGAAGCGAAGGTCAACGTCTTCTTCTATTAAATGCCTCTTTCAGCACTCCACATAGAAGGGGACCCCAACCAACAACCTAGATTTAGCGTCTTAATTCATTTTTCAGCAAAATATCTACTTCTATTCCCTCCAGAAAAATATTTCCAGAAAGATTTTTCCCTCGTGTGCTTACTTACTCTCGTTGTTAACATTTCATATAGAAAAACGCCAACCGCATCTTGTACACTGCGCAGAATGAATATTGCGTAGTTTCTATCTTAGAACTGCTTTTTAATATCGAAAAATGAAACTTTCTTGTTAATACGGATTAGGAAATCCATTCGGTTGTTATTCTTCTTGTTTTTTATATGAATAAAAGCGGATGACATTTGTGGTGATAAATTCTAATTGCTAGAGGTAGGATTTAATAAAAGGACATGAGACTAACGCAACACGGTTGGACAGGTATTTTCGTAAATGAAGTTTTATATACAAAACTTGGCGTCGCTTTTTTCTACCTCCGAAATGAAAAGGCTCTCTTCCAAACATCGTCCCCATGAAACACATATTTCCCTCATGGAAAATTCATCAACTCATTTCGGGCAACTTGAAGACGAGCGAAGAGAGACTAAATAGCGAAAATCATTCTTGACATTTGGACTTTTTCATATAATGATGATTCTGCAACATTCAATAACGAATTCACGCGTCTCTTGACATATATGATTGTCCCTATAGACAATGATTCAGAAGAATTATATTTATGCGCAAGGAAATTCTCGATTCAAACGCATTGCTATTCAAAACTGTTCCCCGTCTCTCTCGGTTTATTTACAAAGAACAACTGTGCAGTCAGTTAATAACAATGATTTCTACGTGACCCATTCTTAGCATATACTTAGAGAAGAATTCCAAGGATATTTAGAATGATAATATTTACATATGTTTTTATTTTTTCTATTTTCTATAAATAGAACTTGTAATCTGAATTTATTGTCATTACAATTTATTGTCATTACAATTTATTAAAATTAAGGTTCTTTAAACATTCTTTACAGCATTATCTTGTAGATTTATGTATACGTGGATATATAGGACATGTGATTTATTTATAAAAACGTTTTACCCCTAGAAGAATGAGTTGATAACTCTTCTGACAGTTCTCGATGCATCGAACTCGGGCGAAAATGTGATTTAAACAATAATATTGCTAAATATATAAATTCACGAGAGATTGAAACAAAACGAATAGAGTGTGTGGTAAAGTAGGACATTCTAAAAATGTATTCGCTTCACATAGAGAGAAATATGACAATTGATTTGAAGAGAAAATTTTTGTATTATAATATCAAGTTTGAAATTTTTTTCTTTTTTTATCAATTTGGATTATCTTATTATTCTATAGTGGGAAATGTGTGCAATTCTTACTTCTCTTCATGTTTATAGAGACCTTGTATTTTTGTCTGTCTATTTACATGGACGATATATAGATTTTTGTTTGCTCGTTGCCAAGGCCCTTTAAAAAGTTCTTTAAAAGCAGTTCCATTAAATTCGTTTCTCTCCCTCCCTTTGAACTCACGGCTGCTTTTCAAAAGCTCGATAAAGAGCACATATAGGGTTGGCAGTGGAGTCTTCAAATATAAGGTATAAAATCTTTAGCCAAAAATGATACGATTCGAATTTTTTCATCTGCTTTAGATTATCGTTCTTTACGTGCATATAAATCCTATTTAAATTTAACTATTCTATACAATCTATCATTTTTCTATATGGAAAACTATGAACATTCGCATCATTTACTGAAGAGTACTGAAGAGTACTGAAGAGTTTTTTCACTAAAAATGTAGAGATTATATGAACTTGGTTAAATGTATTTTGAAGTTATATTAGTCTTGCCTTTGGGAATAATAATTCTATTGCAGCCTCAGAAACCTGAAAAACCTGGAAAAGTCAGAGAATTTTAAATAAGCAGACCGTGGCAACCCTGCAGTTTCCAATTAATTGAAAGAAGAATAGAGATCTTATTTTAGTAGTCGAATTCTACCCAAGATATATTCATCCCTTGGTCTAAAAATAAATGCTGTATCTCGGTGAAACAATTTCTCGAAATATTCACGTCTCTCACTCTCGGCTATCATTTGCAAAAATATGAATAAATTATTAGTCTATATCGATATTTGCATGCCAAATTTAGTGGAGTGGAGGAGAGAAGGATTGACAAATATTTAAAATTGAGTGGAGTAGAGAATATAAGAGTGAAACAGTGCAGTGGTGGTGGTAGTGCTAATCGGTTATTACGACATAAACCGAACGTGTATTTATCGTTGGAATTCCTGCTCGCGTTTTCTATGTAGTCGCAATCACGTAGGCAATGTGTCTTATTATTTATTGTACATTGTCGATTTTCACTTTGATCGTTCAGTGTGTATAAGCGGTGAAAAAAGAAAAAGTGTCCTTTTTTAAAATGAATTTTATCGATGTATCTATCTCTTGGTATAGTGATAGGTATAGTGATATATCACAGATAGCGAGAGGGGGGTTTTTACACCACTGGGCAGCAGCATTTTTCACCTACTTTTAT